CCTGGGATACTCAGGGAGTCTGCCCTGTAGGACTTGATGGATTGAATGCAAACAATGGAAGGATGACTCATAGGTTTTGGGGAAGAAAGAGACAGAAACAGATTTCAAGTCAGGAAGAATCAATAAATATTTCTAGATATCTTAATTTTGAGACAACTGTTAGAAACCTAATGGGAGATACTGACTGTACAGCTGGAGATACAAGACTGAAGCTCATAGTGAATACTGAGGCAGAGATTTAATTTTGGAAATCATATAAATGTATAAGATCCCCTTTTTCTTAGTGGAATATATGTATAATTATATATTATATAATCTTATATAAATAATGGCAATTTTATTTCACGCTTTTCAATGCTTACTACTTTTATTTTTGTAATCTTACTGCACTCCTTAGGATTTCCAGGAAAAAGCTGAGTAAAAGTGGTTTTAGTAAGCACCTTTGTTTGAATGTACTCTTAAAGGTAAACTTTCAATATGTGGTCATTAAATGTTCTTTATTCCTCTAGGTTATTTTGTAGATAATTTTCCTTAGCTTAATGAATGTTTTCCTCATGGCCTTCTAACCCTGTTTCTTTCTTTTTTTTTTTTTAATTGTAAATCGATACTGAATCCTCTCTCAAATGCTTTTTTTGTATGCATTAAAATCATGATTCTAATTTCTCTTTTAACATAAAGATCTCTTTCTACAATAATTTCAGCTTGGTAATATTATTTTTTAAATACATTACTTTGTTACTTCTGTAGTACATTTTATATACTAAATTGATCTCTAATCATTTCTTATACTCTCTTCAATGAATTTTGGATCATGGCTAGGATAGCCTCATAAAATGAGTCTGGGAAATATCTTTTTTTTCTATTTTCTGGAAAACATGTGCAAGCTGAGAACTATGTGCTTTTTGAATATTTACTATAATTAGCAGTTTATAAAACATTATGAGCAATCCTCAGTTACTTTTCCTGGAAACAAGGGTAACACAGTTTTGTTAGGATGAGAAATAGACATTTAAGATTAATGATAATCATCAATTTGATAGGTACCAATTACTAGTGGTTGATGTTCTTTTGAATATTTTTTTATCATAACAACCCTATGGGACAGTTTCCCTTATTATCCTCTTCTTCTATATCAAAGAACTCAAGTTGAGAGGCGCTTGTGTGGCTCAGCCAATTGAATGACTGACTCTTGATTTTGACTCAGGTCATGATCCCAGAGTTGTGGGATCAAGCTTCACACTTGGCTCCATGCTGAGCATGAAGCCTGCTTAGGATTCCCTCTCTCTCTCTCTGCCCCTCCCCCTGCTTGCTTTCTCTCTCTCTCTTTCAAATTAAAAAATATAAATAAATTAAAAAAAAAACTCAAGTCAAGAGAAATTAAGGAGCTTGGGATCATGCAGTTACTATATAACAGAATGAAGATTTGACTGAGGATGGTCTCTTTACAGATTTCCCAATATCAGTTTCTTTACTTTGACAAATTTATTATAAAAAGGAAAATTGCTGAAAGTAAACTTGTTGTATGAGATTGTTTGAGTTTATTTTCTTCTTAGGAAACTTGTGGTGATTAAAATAATCAAATTATCTATGAAGTATATTTTTATGCTATTGAATCTCATTAAAATTTGTAGTGTGCATGGATTTGTATTCAGAAATTCTGTATCATAGCTATTATTCTACTGAGGACTTTCTATCTCTAGACTTACTATTTTTACTTTCCTGTCTTGGTGAAATGAACAAAAGCATATCTTTTCTGCTGCTGAAATCAAGCCCACCTAGACTTTTCCTCTGTAACTCTCATCAAAGTGTAGAGGATTATTTTAATTATAATTAATGATATAATAATTCATTCAAATGATATTTTAACAAGTCAATAGTTTACCTTAATGAATGCCTATAGTCATTTTGTTCAGAAGAAAAGGATCCATACATGATAGGAAAGGTAGATCTGTATAAAGGAATAATTGGTAGGTTGCTATATTGTTTTTATTTTTTAATATTTTATAAACTCATAACCCAAATTTTGAAGTTTCTTTTCCTTTTTTAAAAACATGGATTTACTTTTTAAAAATATATAAATTATAGTCATAGTAGTAGTGCCACAATTTAGGGTGTATTAAAGGGGCTATTTAAATAAAGAGAAACAGGGCACCTGCGTGGCTCAGTTGATTAAGTGTCAGACTTGATTTTGGCTCAGGTCATGATCTCATGGTTCCTGAGACCAAGCCTCATAATGGGCTCTGTGCTGACAGCATGGAGCCTGCTTGAGAGTCTCTCTCTCCCTCCCTCTCTCTCTCTCTTCTATGCCTCCTTCACTCATGCATGCGCTCTGTCTCTCAAAATAAACATTTTAAGGTAAATAAAAAAATAAAATTATCCCATTTTATATCCTGTGATAATTAGAATTGTGCTATTTAACATTTATAATGAAAAGACAGTAATATAAATATTATCAAATGATATGGTTTAAAAGTAAAGCAAATATTATTTTATTACAAATGATATTTGTTATCTATTGCCAAATAACAAATAACTACAAAGCATAGTGACTTAAAGCAAGCAACACTTTTATTTCTCAAAATTCTGTAGGTTAACATGACTCCTTGGGTTGGCTGTGGGCAAATCAGGAGATAGAGAGGTAGGATGCCTAGGATGGATAAGTCTCATTTTCCAAGTGATTGTTCATCTTTAGGGAGGCTAAATTGGGATCCTTTACATGCAGTCTCTGGGTAATGTTCCAGTGAAGGGAAAGCAAAAGCATAGACTTTTAATGCTTAGCCTCTGAAGTCATACAGTGTAACTTTTGTCACATTCTATTGGGCAAAGCAAGTCACAAGACCAGCACCTATTCAAGTGGTGGGGAATTGCATTTCATCTCTTAATGGTATAAGCTGCAAGGTCCCATCAACATAGGACATAGACACAGGGAACATGGTTCATTGAAGACCATTATTTTAACAATCTTCCATACAAACTAAGTGACAGCTTGATACACTTCCTTTTGAAATGCAAAGTCCATAATCTTTTAACCTCATGCTGAGATGTAAAATATATTATATTGGTTGCAGAGTCTCATACATCACCCCAAAGTGTCTTATGGCATTTTAATGAAACCAGGATGCTTTCTTCTTTTTATAATATAAGAAAAGAGTTCCTCTGAGATGTTGTCATCTCAGCCATAAAAGAATACAGACATCATTAAGAGGAATTTCAGCAGGTGCCATACATTAGATATATTGTGATACACTATCAGGATAGAATTTTTAACTATCTCATTCATTTCAATGGGTTTATCAAAAAAATGGCAAAACAAGAATATGAAAGAGAATCGATACAAATAGTCTTTGTAATTTCTTGTTTGTAAAGATGGACTGTTTCAGTGAGTTTGATCTATCTGTTGTGAGCCTATCTATGGCCTGCTAAGAAAGGGAAAAGAACAAAAGTCTATTCTGAAATTTAGTAATAACACATTCAAAATTATGATCCACATTCGATTTCCATTTATTGAGCACCTAGTATGTTTCCGATATTATTTAATTCTTACTGTTAATCCTAACTAATGGAATAAAGACATCATAATTACGATACATAATTTAACAAAAAAGAAATATGGGGTTCAGAACTCTAATTTGCCTACCTAAATCTTAAGTGGTGGCACTCAAATTTAAATTCTCATTTTTAGGACTTGGTCTGATGCTTATGCCATTACAACCTTCCTAAAAAATTATATCATTAGAAGTCATTATCAGGTATGATTAAGAACTTTATAAAAATATTCCTTTTGCTAAATAACAATAAAAAGGGAGCAGCTTAGTTGCAAAGGTCTTTTAAATAAACAATTGGCATTTCTTTAATGCTAATTAAATATGTAACAGGTAGCAGATGGAGAATTTACATGTATTTTCCACTAAATTTCACAAAGTCATTTACAAAGGAGGTGCTGTTATTTTTAATTTTCAGTTTAAGGAACAGGCTTAAAAATGCCCTGGCACCATCATCACAATTTTAATCAGTTATTAGTACTTAAAAAAACCTTCCAGACAGATACTTAAATGCTGCCATAGTTGAGAGCCATTGCTTTGTTTACAATAAATTTTAGGAAAAAAAAAATGATGCCATTAGAAGCAAAGTTAAAAGATAAAAAAACAGAGCAAATTGAATGGCAATATTTTTTGTTATTATTTAGAAATTTTTTAGTGCTTATAATTTTTTCACTAAAAATCATATACAAATAGGTAAATATTATGAGATATGTAAACACATCTTCTGAAGGAAATACATTTTGCTAATGCATAGTTAAAATGGTTTACATCTTAATGGTGTTTGCAGCTTCAATTATGAAGGTGAAATGTTAAAAAAACAAAGTTTTTTTTTTTTTTTTTACATGAATATAAATTACTGTCTGGATCAAAATTAGTTCTTACAGAAACATTTAAGAAAAAATTAAAGTATCATCTTACTGTTCAATTTCCTAACAGTTTAAAGTATAATCTCAGATGAAATTACTTCAAAAGCAGTGTCTCTATGAAAAACTCACATGTATGTTTTTCTTGAAATGTTTTCAAAATCTATCTCTAAATAAATCTATTTGTACTTGAATACATTTCAGTAGTACTCTAATGCATGGGAAGTTTACTTGTGTATTAAATAATCTATAGCAAAACACTATCTATCTGTGTAAACATAAGAATAAATTAATAGATATATAGCATTTGAAACCTATGTTTATATTATGCATAAAACTGTAAGTGCTAATCTATTTATAGTCTTATCAAGATATCCAGGAAATTCAGTTGCTAAAATCACCAAGTTACATAAAAAATTAAAGATACACTCCCAAAATATTATCTTGCCACTTTTTAAAGTGAGTAACTTCTTTTATAACAAGTAGATGATAAAAGGAATCCCTCTATTCTATACATTCATGAATATATTAAGTTGCTACTAATTTCAGAGACATATCTCTTACCATCCAATTTGAAATTTGAAATTAAACTTACCAGCAAATTTGATATGAAATTTATTTTCAGGCTTCAATATCTGGACATACAAAGGGCAATTTGGAGCAAAATCTTTTACAGCCCATGCTCTCAAAATTGTTTGATGGTCCTGAAATGATAAATATCAAAATATCATGAAATAAAATGAAAAATTTATACTACATAAAGTAAAAATAATCAACCAATGTGTTAAATGCGCACATCCACAATTTAAAGTTAAACATATTTTAATTAAACATACAAACATACAAAATAATTAATTCAAGGACTTATTTGTAAATATATTTATTATTTCTACAAAGGAGATTAACAATACCTAATTCAATCAGTGCTAATTACCAGCACTTAAAAAATTAGCAGAGAGTAAGAGGAAAGTTTCTTCAAAAACTTAAAAGTACTCTTCTTGGAAAATAGTTGAGGGTCAGAAGCCTTCAACAATGCAGCACAACTAATAGTTTTTAGTAACAGTTTCCATGGAAAAAATATGGATTTATAACAATTTTAACACTTTTAGAAAGATTGGCAAGAGAGGAAGGACTACAGCAACCACACATGTAGAGAATACACTATTTAAAATTTGTTTCTATATAAAAGTAAAAGTAAAAGTAAGAGAATCTTGACTCTACATGGGTCAGTTGGAAAAGATCAGTAACTTACACATATTAAAAATACCAAAACAGTTAAAAAAAAAAAAAAGAAGGTGCTAAGATTTAGAAAAGGAATAAAAATCCTGCTTAACATTGAATCTTACACATAGTGTGACCCCATAAATTATTACTTAATTCATTAAGTAGGTCAAAGCAAATTATTAGAGAAATGAGTCAGCCAAAATACATTTTGAAAAAGGAAACAAAAACATTTTCCAGGGTAGCACTGCCCGTGGAGTGAGTAGCCATTAGCCACATGTGGCTGTCTAAATTTAAAGTAACTAAAATTAAGCATTCTATTTCCCTGTCACACTGGCCATATTTCAAGTGTTCAAAGCCACATGTGGCTAATCCAAAGCTTTATGGAACAGTGGAGATATAAGCATTTGTATCATCAAAGGAAGTTCTATTTGACAATGCTGTTAGGGAAACAAGAGGGCAATTAAAAATATAAATGGATATAAGGGATTATTTAAAGAAGTGCAGAAAGAAGCTGCTGTAGGTAGTTAGTAACTTTAAGTGGCATGAAAGTTGATGAATAGTAACTCCAAATTCCTAAAGTGGATAAATGGACAATGTGTGTCTTCCAGGCAAACATTCAATGAACCTGATACAGTGTGATGGTTAATTTTATGTATCAACTTGGCTGGATCATGAGGTGCCCCGGTATTTGGTTAAACATTATTCTGGATGGGTGGTAGACCCCAGAAAAGGGACAGGCAGAGAACAGAAGCCACAAATCCTGTGTATAAATTTATACAACACTGGCTAACCGCTAAACCATGCATACATGGGACAGAATAAGAGCAATCTCAACTGAGATTTGAATCACTGCCAAATGCTAGGGTAAGAGAGATTGTATTCAAGTGAACCAAATTAACTGCTTGCTAAAACAAGACTATCAACACTCTTTGGAGGAATATAAGAGACTCCAAGTCTCCACAACATAACATAATATTCAGAATACATTGCAAAATTATTGAATATATGAAGTGCCAGAAAAATGTGACCTATTTGTTTATTTCATGGGAAACAAACAAAATTAAATCCAATAAACATTAGCCTCTAGATGATCTAGATGTTTGAATTATCAGACTAGGGCTTAAAGCAGATAATAAAAATATCATCACTGAGATAAAGGAAATCTGCTCATAATAAATAGAGGAAAACTCTAAACAAATAGAAAATATTTTTAAAATTTTTAAAAATATTTATTTGTTGATTTGAGAGAGAGAGCGCATGCGTGGGTGTGAGCACACAAGCAGGGGAGGGGCAAAGAGAGAGTGGGAGATAGAGAATCCGAAGCAGACTCCAGGCTCTGAGCTGTCATCAGCACAGAGCCCGACATGGGGCTCGAGCCCACAAACCATGAGATCATGACTTGAGCCAAAGTCAAACACCTAACTGCCTGAGCTACCCAGGTGCCCCTAAAAAATATTTTTTTTAATTAAACAAAAAGCAAAAATACCTGAAAAATATTCACTGAATGGGCTTTGAAGTAGAATGGAGATGACATAGGAAAGAGTCAGTGAACTTGATCATAGATCAACAGAATTTATCCAATTTGAAAAACAAAGAGAAGAGGAATAGAGAAGGAACACAGTTCAGGGACTTGTGCAACAATGTAAAAATGTCTTATATAATATAATTGGATTTCCAGGAAGAACACAAAAGAGAAAATAGAACAGAAAATAATTTGAAGAAATAGTAGCCAGAAACTGCCCAATTTTGTTAAAGGCATATTTTTCCAAGTTCAATAAGCTCAGAAAATCCCCAACTGCATAAATGAAGATGACCACACTAATCACATTGTAGTTAAATTACTGAAAACCAAAAGTAAAGACAATATTTTGAAAACAGCCAAAGAAACACAGTTTTGTGACCAAGGATTCTTATCAGCAATCATGGAAACCAGGTAACACGGAAACAGTATCCTAAACTCTAGAATGAGGGGAGGAAAAAACTATTACACCATAATTTTATAGACAAAGATCCTTCAAAGAAGTGAAATAAAGGCTTTTTCAATTAATGAAATCTAAGAAAGTGTGTCATCATCAGTATCAGACTACAAGTTTAAGAAACTTCTGTATGCTGAAGGGAAATGATACCAGAGTGAAAACTTTGGATTTCAAAAAAGACTATAAGAAATGGTTACTATTGAGTGAATATAAAATAAGAGCTTTCCTCTGGAATTCTTTAAAATACAGATATATTCATAAAGAAAAAATATAGTATTGTCTTATGGGATATGAAATTTATGAAAGTAACAGAAGAATAAGTGCAAAGTTTCTAACTTCAATAAATTGTGTCATATTTAAAAATAAATGGTGCGATATTAACATGAAGTGGACTATGAAAAGGTAAGGCCATGTATTGTAGTCCCTAGAGCAGTCACTAAAAAAATTTCAAAAGACAATTCCTAAAAAGCCAATAGGTATATAAAACTTGAATTCCTAAAAGAAAAAAAAAGTCAAATAATTTTTTTAAATGTAGAAAAGGGAAAACAGAAAACAACTTAGGTAGACCTACATCCAACCATATAAATGATAGCACTGAATGTTAATGAACTGAACATATTAAAACATAAAGAATATTAGAACAAAAGAAATAAGACCCAACCATAAGCAATTTAGGAGAGATGCATATTAAATATAAAGTTACTGGTAAGAGAAAAGGAGTAAATGATAATAAGAAAACAAACAACCCACTTTGAAAGCCAGCAAAAGATCTTAACAGACACCTCACCAAAGAAGATTTACAGATGACAAATAAGCATATGAAAAGATGTTTAACATCATATATCATTAGGGAATTGCAAAACAGTGAAATACCACCACACAACTACTGGAATGACTAAAATCCAAAACACCAACAACACCAAATACCAGTGAGGATGTGGGACAGTAGAAAGTCTCATTTATTGCTGGTGGGAATGCAAAATGGTTTAGCAACTTTGAAAGACAGTCTACACTTTCTTATAAAACTAAGCATACCCTTACCATATCATCCAGCATTTGGGTCCATGGTATTTACCCAAATGATTTATCCACCTGAAACCTGCCCCTGGTTTACAGCAACCTTATTCATATTTGCAAAAACTTGGAAGTAACCAAGATGTCCTTCAATAGGTAAATTGATAAAACAAATGGGTACATCCCAATAATAGAACATTTTACAGCAATAAAGAGAAATGAGCTGTCCAGCCATGGAAAGACACAGAGAAAACTCAAATACTGCTAAATAAAAGAAGCCTAACTTAAAAGGCTGCATACCATATGATTCCAACTATATGACATCTGGAGAAGGGACATTATAGAAAGTGTAAACAGATCAGTGTTTGCTAACGGGCTTGGCAGTGGGGGCAGGTGGAGAAGTGGGGATGGATAGGTGGAATACAGGGGATTTTTAGGGCAGTGAAAGTATTCTGAAAGATATCGTAATGACGGATAGATATCATTCTACATTTGTCAAAACCCACAGAATGTACAAAGCAAAGAATAAACCTTAATGTAAACTATGGACTTTAATAATAATAATGTATTTATTTGCAAATATCAACATGTATAAATCAGTTGTCGCAAATGTACCACAGTAACACAAGATGCTAGTAACAGTGGAAACTGGGGAGGAGGGGTGGTGGAAATTCTCCATATTTTTTGTTCGATTTTTCTATAAACCCAAAACTGCTTAAAAAAAAAAAAAAAAGTCCATTTAAAAAAAAACAAGCAGGGGCACCTGGGTGGCGCAGTCGGTTAAGCGTCCGACTTCAGCCAGGTCACGCGATCACCAGCCCGATCGTGAGTTCGAGGCAGCGTCGAGGCTCTCTGAGCTGATGGCTCAGAGCCTGGAGCCTGTTTCCGATTCTGTGTCTCCCTCTTTCTCTGCCCCTCCCCCGTTCATGCTCTGTCTCTCTCTGTCCCAAAAATAAATAAACGTTGAAAAAAAAAGAAAAAAGAAAAGAAAAAATAAATAAATAAATAAATAAATAAATAAATAAATAAACAAAAACAAGCAGACAAAGCGTGAGCTTTAGTCACAAATTCGGAGCTCTAATTTCACTCTAGAATTTACAAACTGCGTAAGTAAAATTACTAACCAAATCTGATTCTCAAAAGGTTCAATTGTTTTTGTAAGTGAGTAGGCAACTAGCTCTTCTTTTTTTTTTATTTACTTATTTTGGGACAGAGAAGAGACAGAGCATGAATGGGGGAGGGTCAAGAAGAAGAGGAACACAGGGCTGAGGCAGGCTCCAGGCTCTGAGCTGTCAACCAGAGCCCAGTAGCCTGTGAAGAGGCTCACAGGACAGCGAGATCATGACTTTCCTGAGCCCTTGGTCACGACAGCTCAGCTTGATTGAGCCACCCAGGCACCCCTGGCTCTTCTTAGCTTCACATGATGTCTGGCAACATGTGACAGGTAGACATCACTGGCTCCCTAAAATTTTCTCCCTTGGCTTCCAGCG